CAAATATCCAGCTAATTTTTTGGTATGTGATATAAAATTTACCCCTCTTTAACATATATTAAAATTGCGGTTAAGAAGAGTTAAGCTTTTGCAAACGAAATAGCAAAAGACGATAAGGTCTTATTTAGCGGAAGGAGGAGGTATTCAACACTTTCAAATTAAACTCAAATTTTGGCATTAAACGACCAACAAGTTTGACTTATAGGGATACGGATATAAACATACGAAACTGTTTATTAATTAATTTTTATGAAACGATTTATCTATTTAACACTGTAGCATGAAATTACAAGAAGAAAATTGAATTTCCTGTTGGCAAAAAGGAAAATTCCGTAGGCCCTCAAGCGCACGGCCCGGAGGCGCGGAAAGAGCTTGCCAGTCCTACTCCGTATCACACATTACCGCTAGTGAAGAGCGGGGCGCTCGTTTCATCGCCCAACCTTTATCAGCCCTGTATTAGACCGTCACGGAGAGCGCGTTCTGTCCTATCAGTTTTCGTAACTCGTGAGCTCTTTTCAAGAAGTAGGAAGAACCTTGTCCAATCCCTTGGCCTCCGTCGTTTTTGAAACAACTGGAGTAATAATTAAAGGAAACTAAATGAATCACTCAAAGAAGAAGCTCCTTGCTCATTGCATGTTATTATTTTATGAAATAAGATACGTTTGTAAAACCTACGGTTGGGCCTAACCAAACATCTCGCTTCTTAGGGGTTGTGGTTTTACTTTAAATAAAATAAGACTTCCTGACCATACATTAAATACTATGAAAGTCTTTTACTTTAACTTTTGATGTAAATACGTTCGTATTTTAAGTCCCTTAAAACTGACCTTACAGACTAGAACTGTATCGAGCGACTGAGCCATGCAGTGCGATTACTTAAGTCGACCTCGTAAACAGTATATTCTTACCTGCTATTCCTGGTAACACCACATCATTTCGTTTTAAAACTATGGTTAGAAACAAGATTATAAAGCTTGCTTTCACAGAACTTGCCATAACGAATGTCTGGCTCAAACTGTCACACTGGTGTCAACTTGTTGATTCGTCGCCTCTATATATCTAGTTGCGTGCTTGTCAAGCAATCGGTAGTTGATAAAAATGCGTAGCCTATTCGCACAGTTTACGCAATTTGAAGCGTATTGTTCACATGTCAATTTTTTGCATAATGAGTTATTGCCATAAAAGTTCGCGTGAGTATTGCTCCAATCATTAGTACTAGAGCTCATCAAGCGCACGCCGTTTCAAACTGAAGGTAATTACATGCATCATATCAGTGTTATTAACTATGAGTAATTCATGGTAAGCTCTAAAAAAGTGAAAATAAACTTTCGTGAATCATTTTGGTTACGTTATTCGTCTCTTCTTTATTTGATGTAAACAATAGTTGATGTAAACAATAGTATTTGCATCGTTGAGCCAGAACTAAAAGTAAGAACTCATTTAAGTGCCGTCAACGAAGTGGTTAGTAACACTTCAAATGTCTTAAGCATTATCAAACTTTGTTTGGCATTAATTATGTCAGTGAGCACTTCTCAGCTTCATTGTCAACTCTACGGATCTAACACAACTTAAACTTTTGACTGTGCCCGGCATTTTACCCGGAGTAGGCGAATCTTTGTTTACACTTTTTGCCTCATTAACATATGCTTATCACACCATCTCGTGACGCTAATAACATAAAAACTCTGAATATTGAAAGGACATAACAGTTTCAGTTATGTCTGAACATTTGAGGCCAATACACTTAACGGTTTCGGAGAAATTCTCTACTAAAAACTCGAAATTTTACAGAGAATGTATGGCTCATTAACTTTTTTGACACACAGCAATTTCGCAGTTTTTCATGGGTGATATTTCCTTTAATATTGCTTGCAAAGAACTAAAAATTGTATAAATTGCTCAACTTAATCAGCTCTTTCAACTTTTGCATTTATTTCATATATACGGCCACGGCTTCTATGAGTTAAGTCGTATGATAATGAGGAAAAATGTAAACAGTGACGTCAGCAAAGATTTGCCTGTCGCTCTACGTACTGTAAGGTGTATTAATCTGATCTGTTGTTCATGTTAATCATAGAAGAGGAGACTAAACAAGGAAATCGGCAAAAATCAACTGAAAAAAATAACAGTTGATAATGGAAGGAGGTGCACGACATTGCACAATTTTTTGCGTTGTTTTCAGTTTGCACACAAATAGACGGAATAAATCAATTGAACAATTCTATGGGTCAGTGAGCTTAATGTGCTCTTAGTCAAGCCTTAAACAGCGAACACAGAAAACACATAACAACTGCCCGGAAAAAGCTGTTTATGGCTGTCACTGCCGGGATGATATGGCTGTTCGCATACGTAAGGTACCGGCCAGACCGAGAATTTGATAGCTTGTGCTTCCTTCCTGGTTTGGTTTTAAAATACTTCTGTTTGTCGGGGGAGGGGGTACTCCCTATAATGGCCTATACGGGGAGGTATATGAAAAGGTAGCTGGGATCTTACTCGTTAACTGAAGTATACGAAAGGGTAGGGAAATCTGTCATTTGGGTCTGTGAAAGGGCCCAAAGGGCTAACAGATCTTTTAATGGCTTTATAAAGTCGAGAAAACGTTCTATTTTTGTGATTGATTCCTATTTAAAAGACAGTGCATTTACAGCAACTAAAAGGGATGCAAAGTTCTAAACGAGGTGTGCGAATAGAAGGTGTACGAAAGGGGTACCTCTTTCGTGAAAAAAAGGGTAAGGGGTTGGACCTGGGGGCGAAGCCTCTCCCAATTAAAATTTGTTGAGTACCTCCCCGCCCCCCCTAACAACTGGCGGTCTTCCAAACCAATGCACAACTAGACAGTCCAGTCAACCTAGGAATTCTTTAATTGCAACCGATTTACTGGTTTCAACGTCGAGGTGGCCCATCTAGCAACATACTCAAAACAATTCAATTACACTACGCTTGGTTTTCTGGATTTTCCCTGCAACAGAGTCGGCCAGGTGTAACGAAAAGCGCACTGAGCATTAAAACCTAGAAAACATCACAATACAAAATTCGGAGTCCTAAGCAGAAAATCTGTTAAGTCTTTGTCAAGGTGCGAAATCATAATCCGAAAGGAGGTTGCTCGAGTCGCAAGAAAAAAAAAAAGAATCCCAGTTTTTTATCACACCTGTTGTGACGAAGTTTGATGAACATAAGTACTTCACAAAACTCGATCAAAGATCACGGAAATAGGTTTAACAGTTGAGTTTACCTCGGTGTAAAAACCTGTGAAGTTTTTCTTTCTTTTGTAGCTATTATTTTCCCTGGGGCTCTATTATGTTGACTTCTAAGTGGCTTATTTGTATTCACCGTTTTGCGTCACTCGTGAGTTTACAGGTTTTTACACCGAGGATGAGCCAAACAGTTTGTACGGATGCAAATTTAGTAGCTGGCTGATGGTGAACAGTTTGATTTGATTATTCAGGGTATTGTATCCAAGTTTCATGTTTTTGTGCACAACAATAGCTAGCATTTTTGCATATTTTAAATGCATTGATAGTTACTCCTGTTCACGTGAAAATGAAACCTTGGAGACAATACCCTTGAATAATGAGGGGCTTTCACTTGTAAAGACAAAATTTCCAATGAAAAATTACCAAATCGTGGCCCTTAATTTTACTGCTTTACAATATATCAACCCTCAAAGGTCTCCTAAAAAGACGTTTAATCTTTGGAATCTCAATTTTTTAAAAAAATCTACCGAGCAGTTGAATTATTTCGTTCAAGTAGACCAATATGTTTACAAAGTCGCTAACAAGAGTGCTTCGATACATACTAATTAAATCCTCCTTTCTAGCAATCGGCTGGAGCTATCTTTCGCACTCGTTTTTAAAAAGATTGAAACTACTATGAGGTGGAATTGCTTGTCAAAAACGCTTCGTTTTTCACAGATAAGGGCCAAACATCAAGATTATCCATTTTTTACTGTATTTCTAACCATAAAAACTTCATCCCAAAATATCTCGATAACGCTGTTACAGATTTCGCTTAAGCTTTACCAACAACGAGGTGGTATTGGAGCAAAACGCTCCCTTGAACGATTTTGGAAAAACAGCTCCCAGCACCGAGAAGTACTGCTGCAGGTAAAATAGGTAATGGCGTCATTTCGTTGCTATGTCGACTCCTATGTCATTGCAACAATGATCATAACAAATTTTCATCTTTACCTAATACAACTGTGGTGGCAATTTTTCAAGTCTTCGTTTATGGCGACGTAGTTTATACTCAAACTTGGGAGATATTGACCCTGAAAAACTGTATCGAGCCACTTAAACTGCTAAAATACTTACTGCATTTCTGCTATTAAGCAAAAAAATTAATTATTAATACTTTTAACTATGTTAATAGCCGACTGTCTAATAATTTCCCTTTAAATACCGTCACAGAAAAAAATTCAGGCTTGGTAAGCGGAATGTGACGTCATACGCGTTGCGGGGTGACCGTAAAAGTCGTCAGGACAAAACAATGACCCAGGTGTTTCTCAAGCCCCGTGCAAACAAAACAAAACTACCCAAAACACATTTGTGATATTGTAGGAGTAAAAATAAAACCCACAATTATCAGATCTAATTTGTCTAAATTTGTGATTTTTCTGAAATTCGGTTTCCTGAAGTGAAAATTGAAAATCTTTATTGGCAATATTTTTCATGTTGCACCTAACGGATTTTGGCAGATTTCTAGTATATTGTTGAGAAGCCATCCAAAAATTAAATGGCGTTGAAAAAAACACTAATACATCAGCCAGCATCAATTACAAGGCACTTTCGAGCCGCCGCTCGATCAAGACTCCAAGATAATGATAAACACAAAAAAGGAACCTTTTTTAAATACGAAAACGTACAGAGAACTTCTGAAACCTTAGGCCGACAGCCTGAAAATGAATTTTCAGGGGTCAAATCTCTTTTAATAACTATTAAAAAGGCATTTATAAAGTGTAAATTGGAAAAGGTGCTCCGCAAGCTTAAGTTTCACTCAGCCCCTTGTGGCACCATTTGAGGACAAGTGAATGGGGCTCCTATTAGTTTTCCCCCCTTTTAATAACATTTTGTAGTATTCTCTTCTTTGTAGCATGAAGAAGGCTGATATGGCCAGCCGAAATATTGCTGTAAAAAGCAATACGCGCTGGAATTCTCGTTTTCCCCCTCTTTTTTGAAGGTTTTATCTTTAAGAGGCCTTAAAATAAATATCGACCCCCAAAGGACTCAACGAATTATCGAAAATGCGTTTCGAATTTCTATTGGCAAATTGTCAATGGTTATTTTAACAGTCTAATCATGGCGCGTACTCAAATCCTTGTAGACAGGTTGGGGCTTAGAACAAGGATTTCGGCGCTCTAGTTTCGTATACAGACTAAACCAGATAGGCCACTTGCACTAAGAGGTCGAGTGATCAACGCTTCCTCTAAACAATGAGTTGGAATCTTGCTGATGCCAAAAATCGACAGAGCACGTAAAAATTATCTTACAGCCGAAATTTGAGATGGAACGCTTTTAAGGGAGATATTTTATGGCTCTTTGAATTTTCAACAAAGTAGAATGATTTGTATTGGCCGCCATGTTGGAGGGCAAACTCTTGCCCTCCAACATGGTGGCCAAAACTACTGTTTGCTTATATCTTGGTAAACGTTTGATAGTTACGCTCAGATGTGCTGTAAACGTTACCACATCATCTTTTCAACATTTTCCTCGAAGTTTAAGTGCAAAATTTGTGTTCAGAAAGAGGTAATTCATAATTTTAAAAATCACATTTTAGTCACGTGACCATCTACGATCTTACTCATTTTAAGAAAATGGTGCGGGTTTGAAAAACCAAATCACTATTATTCTGTTTAAGATATGACCCACCAATCGTTTTTTGAAGACAAAATCATATAAATTTCATTTTCATAAAAACGATGTCACATGAACTCTTAGTGCAAATGGCCTAGAACTAGGGTTACTCATACCTTGCAGTGGCAGATCCAGGGGAGGGGCCCGGGGGGCCCGACCCCACCCGTCTTATTTTTAGACCAAACTGAAGCCCGAAAGAAAAAAATTCGAACTCGAAAATGGACTATTGAAACCTTCTTTTTACGTTTTCCCGTTCAGTAAAACGTTTGGGATCTCAATTCACTTTCTAGACTTACTTTTCAGCATGAAGAGATAAAGCGAAGTGGCATAGACCAAATTGTTTGCAGGAGGCGGTCGAGCGAATCGACTTCAAGATTTCAGTTTTCACTTTCGTTCTTGTAATGACGCTACAAAAATACGGTCCAAACGACCAAATGTAGCCAAGAAGAAAAAGTGTGGGTAACTGTGGTAGTATTCTAGTTATTTTGTTTTAGTACTGTTGTACTAGTACTTAGCAGACTTAGAAATCCATTCAGGTTCAGTTTTGATGTTCGTGACAAATTATTATCAAAGTAACGTAATTGCCCTGTGTTGTAATTTTGATTCCTAAACATAGCTTTTGCAATACTAGTGATGGGAATCGGTTGAGATTTCACAATCGACCATCGGAAATAATCGGATTGCCCCAACCGATCGATCATCTATTATAATCGGAAAAATCTACCAGACTGTGCATGTTATTACGTTCAAGATTACATTGCAGCAGTTCAAGTGAGACTGACACGAAATCAACAAAACACACGTGCCACAAACCTTTGTTGGCGTATTGCTTTCTGCAAAGCCTACAGATTACCTTCGTCATATCCAAGTTTTCCTTTGTTTTGGGCCCTTCCTTCAGTTGATAAAAACCAAAATATTCCCACACTTTTGACCTGTCGTTTCCAGGATAACGACAGATCTCCAACTCGATTGTCGCGTCGCTTGAACTTTTCGATCAACTTTCGATTATAATCGATCATCGGCCCACCACTATGCAATACTGTATGTGTTTGTATGGTCATGCAAATAAAGCTCGTTGTTGTTGTTGTTGCTTCCAGTATCCTCATCATGATCGATCGCAGTGCAAATGTAAGTAATTCTTTTAAAACTTACGCATTGAGCGTAGAAATCATTGCTATTGTTATTGTTGTTTGAGTTATATGTACAGTACATACATACATACATATCCTTTATTTAAACACGATATGGTTTAAAGCTCAAAGCTTGTGGGGTCGTGTACAGTTGCCATGTTTAGATATAATATTCACTTTTATCCTACTCTATAATTTAAAAATAAGGATTTTTACAGTGTATAGAATCAGACAAACGCGAACTTGCACAAAAAAAGCTGAGCGCGGCCATAGTGTTTCCTTTATCTCGCCAATCTCGACCCCAGAGCGGCCGTCACTTTTGTACAGCGGATGGGGTAACAGACGAGTAATTCCCGTTGCTGTACAAAGGGATCGCGGCCTCTGGGAACTAGATTGTTATCTCGCGCTTACAAAGTGGAAGGGAATGCCGCCCGCAATGGACTCCCCAAGGGAGAAAACTAGTACATGCTCACCCATTTCAGGACGTGGTTTTAAAACAGAACTAGAAAATTGGACTGCATTGCCTCTAAATAAGGCTGGGACGATTTTATCATGTTTGTCGATGAATAGCAAGGGACTGAAATCTGTTCAATACCATAAGGTAAAAAATGCAGCAAACCATAAGAACAGGGAACGTTTATTCCGCTATAGTTTTGCAAAACCGATTAAAAACTCGAGGTCAAAAAAAATTATAATAATAATATATAAATACAAAACAAAACAAACAAACAAAAAAAAGGAAAAAAACACCTAGAGAGATATATTTTTGGATTATTTAGTCGCGTATATTGCTAGAAATTAATTGTGCGGTTATCGTCTATGTTATTTTACTGGCTTCGATTCTTTTAACGCAATGGCTGTTGGTCAAAAAATTGTACTTCACGAGCTAAACAAACAGTATTGCAATCAGTGGCAAAGAAAAGAGCGAGGGAACAGACAAAGGCAACGCTCCATTTCTGGTTTTAGGCTTCCCACCCCTGGTTACGTGTTTCTCACAGGATTTCTGCTTGCTCTCACTGAGACACAGGGCATAATCCATCACGTGAAATACGTACTGTTGTTCCACTACACCATGGAATAGGTAGGCTCCAGGTCCATCCGCGAACACGCCTGCAAAATGATAGTCCGATATGAGTACAGGACACCGCCGAAAACATATTTTAGGTTGATTTATATATAGACTAATAGGTAATCGTTGAGCAGTCTGGTTGTTTACGGGCGAGTGGAGTTGATTTTTGAATCCGCCTGATAGAAAAAAAAAACCTTCAGGAAGCCTTATCCTGTAAAAAGGACCTGAAGTAGAAAAAGCAAACGAGTGCTGTTCTTTAGTTGCCTTTAAAAAGAGTAAAAATTTGGACGAGATATTCATCTTAGAAAAGTTATCGATATATCCTTAAAGTTTCTTTTTGCGCGAGACTAGAATGAACTATCATGAGGCGTTCACATGTGTGTAGAGAAGAAAAAACACTGCACGAAGTCTAGAGAGATCTTAGAAGCAAATGTTTGGTTCATATCTCACCAACATCTTCTGATCCATGACTCTCGTACTCGGTAAGAACTGTAGCCTGCTGAAGAAAGTCCTTGTCAGCGGTGTTTACATTGCGCAGGTCTTGACGAGATCCGTTCAGTCCACCTGGTCCGTCTGCATACCCAAGGGTGGTGTATGTTCTGTTCTCTGTGTCCACAGTTAAAGTATTGTCTACCTCTTTTAGTATACCAAACACAGGGTTCCCACGTTTGGGGTATCCGCCGATGGTAAAGACGTGAGAGTGATCAGCTGTAACTGTTATCAGAGTTTCGTCTAAAGATTTAAGTAACGGTTGATATGATTAGCAAATAGATATATTAATAGTACTGAGAAAACTCGCAGAAATATGGCCATTGATTTCAATCACACAACGAAAAGAGTTTAAAAACCTTTCTACTTTCGAAACCAAAGAGAGATGATAGACCGCATTTTAAACAATGAAATCTAGATTACCGGCGGTACTGGAATCCGGATTTTGTCAGCTCCTGGATTCCAATCTTTAGTAGGATTCTGGATTCCTTGAACTGTATTCCGGATTCCAAACCCCAGGATCCAGGTTTTCTACCTTTCCCTTGAGTACCCCCAGGGGCACCCAACGACGATTTCCTCCAAAATACCCTTGAAAGCAGTTTTTAGGCTATCCAGAGTACTTTTAGATCTCGAGAAATGCATTGTAAGTGGCGCTATAAAATTTGTATCTGTTCGGTCTTCCTAGGGGAACTTAAAACTTTTCGAAATTATAAGGGCTTCAGTTTTATTTTCCCGAAAATTTTAGATGTAATTTAACGTATTACGAAAGTAAGAATTTTTCTGATTCCTCTTTCCATCACATTTTTTAATCCGAAAAGTTTAGTTTTCCTTTTTCCTACGAAAAATAGCCCAACCTTTGGTGTGAAATGTGAAAAATTAAACTTCAGAAAATAGTAGGGAATTTATAAGATGAGCTTCGAAAGTTGTAGGTGAATGGAACGATCATCTAGAAATTTTTAGCCGTCTTCAAGTACAAGAAAATTCTAGGCAGTATTTGTCTCCCCGAACAGATATTTTACAGAAAACAGTCATTGGGTGCCCCTGTACCCCTCCTTCCTTCCCCCAAAATCAGTGTTGTATTTTAATCCCTTAAGTTAATCTTGAACTACCAAAAACATTGATTCGGAGGCGTGGGCATTTACGGCGTTTAAACAGAAGTAAATGGTAAACGAATGAAATTGCTAATAAAAGCGCGGGCTTTAGACAAGTGCTTCAACTACTTTTGTCTTTGATTGTAGATTACGACATACAGCAGAATTGCCGACGCTTTAGATCAAGAACACTTGACAGAAGATACGTCAATTATTTACCTTTGTTTACAATTTCCAAGGCCTTGGCAACTGCTTTATTCATAGCAACTCCGTCAGTAAGAGCTTTAACAGCCTTGCCATCATGATGTCCGTGATCAATGCGTCCCGCTGAAAACAGGACACAAGAAACATTCCTTTTAAAAGAAACAAAAT